ATAAACAAGGCTTTTCCCCAAAGGGCTTTGGGTGGAAGGCCATCAAAGCAAGCTGTCCATACTCCTCTCTGGAAACTCTCAAAAGGCCATGACTGTTAGCTTAGACAGGTGGCCCAGGGGTCCCTCTCTGCCAAAAATGCCCAGAATAAGCCCGAGCCTTCCCCTCAAGAATTCAGGAATATGGTTTCCAACACAAACAGATACTACATTGTCGAAATAGTGCTGGAGTGTATCCAAGCCTTCCCTTTATGTCCTTTGAGTCATTTGGAAATGGTTAACAAACGGGTTGAACACCTGGGCTGATTACCCCAGAAGGGGATTTCCAAACAGACTCTATGCTGTAAAATCATCTCTTCCCTTCCCAAAGCAATTCAGTTCCACTTTCTCTGAAGTGTGCCCTAAAGATTCCAAATTTTCTAACTAGGATTGATTCTAGGCTTACTAAATTACAGCAGCAACTGCTGCTGACACAAAGAAACAAGGAGCCAAGCAACTCTGTGCTTTTTAAAAAGGTTTTCTTTAAATTAAGAGGAACAGATGTCCAATGTTTCAAAAAGCCACACATTTGTGGATTTGGCTGACAAACCCTCTAAGCTGCATTTCATTTCTGTTCCCAGAGAGTCAGCCAGCCACTTAGAACTGACTCACTCTCTCTGGGCCACAGTTTGGGCCAGTATCCCAACTACAGAACTAGAATCCCAGATCTCAAATAAATCCAGGGTGTTTGGGTAGATAGTGGGGGCCATCTAAAACAACTTTTTTAAAAATTTTATTTTAGTAGTATCAACACCCACACAGCAAACTGTGGAAGGCTAGTAGGTCAAAGAAAATGAGCAAACAGTTGGCACTTGCCTGTCCCAGCACCACAGTTCTAAAGGCAATGAGTAAGCAGCTATCCAGAACAGGTTTTTGTTATAATCCCTCTTATGAGTACTGGTTAAATATGCAAATACATGTAGGTTATATGCTGCAATTCAAGTCCTCACCCTTAAGGCAAATGCATCACCTTAGGTGAACTCCTGGCCTTGCTGGGAAGGGAGGGACAGGAACCCAAGCCCCTGACTACAAGATACAAATGACTCAACTGCTTCTAGAATTTTAAAGTACATTATGTGCTTGCTTTTCTTGCTGTCTTTGAGAATAAAGGAACAAAACACTTCACATGCAGCAGTTTTGTGTAGCATTTCATTTACTATGTTTTGTGACTACCAGAGAAGCTTTGATCATGTGAGTTAGAGATGGAATGTTACTTGGCTTTCAAAAATGGCTATTAAACTCCTGCTTAGGTTGTCTTAACTTTTTGTGAGCACATTAATAATTATCAATAAAATAAACCAATCTTGTGTGTTTTTGTAACAGGAATGAGACTTTCAGGTCTACTAGGGAAGACCTGGTGTGCCACCAAATCAAATTTTTCTTTTACTGTTTAAAACCTCTTTACACCCAGCAAATCTCACTGGATATTCCAGATGGAGCTTTTCCAACAAGGTATTAAAAGCTGATCATTCCTTTTTTCCTCATCTACCTTCTGGTTTTTTTAGTATTAACTGTATAATAAAAATAAATTAGAAAATGTCAACATTTAAAGCTGGTAAGATTAGACAAGTATTTTCATTTATTCATAGTAAATTTTGTGTATCTGTGTTTTGTACCTTAACTAGGCTAGCTGGGAGCCTATTTTTATTTTATTTTTTGATAGGTAAGAAGTGGATTTATTTAGAGAGATGCACATTCCATAGAGAGAACACAGTCTGTCTCAGGCTCGAGCGGCCACGGGAGAAACACACTCCACAAAGTGTGGGCCATCTCAGAAGCCGAGAGTCCTGGAGAGCTATTTTTAGAGTTAAGAAGGTTTTGGTTTTACTAATCAAGTCATTAGTTCATTAGTTTCTGCTTTTCTTTTAATTAATTTGTATCTTGGATTTAGTTAATAACTTCTTTAGACAGAGCATATCTACTCCCAAATGAGGGCATATATGCAGACAGCATTTATTTACTTATTTTTAAATATTTATTCTTTTGGCTGCACTGGGTCTTAGTTGCGGCACATGGGATCTTCCTTGTGGTATGCGGACTCTTAGTTGCGGCATGTGGGAGCTAGTTCCCTGACCAGGGATCAAACCCCCGGCCCGTGCATTGGGAGCACAGCCTTTACCCACTAGACCACCAGGGAAGTCCCTGCAGACAGCATTTTAGAACCTACTTTTTTTTTTTTTTTTTTTTTTTTTTTTTTTTTTATTTTTTTTTTTTTTTTCTTTTTTTTTAAAAATTTTCTTTTTCTTTAATACTTT